TAACATTGTCCATGGGGTTTTCTTGGCAAGGATACTGGAGTGGGTTGCCATTTCCTTCTCTTAGCAGTCTTAGCAGATGCTGAACTTTAACAGAACCGTTCCTATAGCTCACAACTGGCCTTTCCTCCAGGCTCCCCAGGAAACAAAAGTTCTGTGCGCCCTCTAAATACAGATCCCTTAACTGGAAAAACAGAGGTTGGACTCTGCGGTTTTTCTGCCTCCGGGACAGACTCCCCGCCGAGCCAGGGCCCCTCCCCAGACTGGGAAAGGGGCCATGGGGGGAGCCGTCCCAGGCTGGCTCAGAGGCTGAATGCTTCCTTCCAGGGAGCCGAGCGAGGGAGGGCTTTGCAAACCTCCAGGGCGTCTGCAGTTGGGGACCGCCTGGGAATTGCCAGGAAAAAGAAAGTGGAGCTGAACCAGGCGGGGCTCTGCCTGGCTCTCCTCCCCCCCCTCCCCGCTTGGCCACCCAGGTTTCTTCCGGGATAAAGCATCCCCACCCGCCCCCTTCGCCAGGCTGAGGCTGCAGGTGATGCCCCAACCCTGAAAAGAGGAAGACCCGAAGAAGGGGCCATTTCCCTCGCCTGGTGTAAGAGGCAGATCCGGGCTCCAGGTTTCTCTCACCCACCCCCTCGGGACTCCGAGCTCCATCCCACCGACCTGGAGGATTGGAGTTGGAGAGTAGCACGCAGCAGGATCACGCGCGAGACTCACTTTTGGCCAGAATTTCAGGGAGCCCTTTGGCTGAAAAATGAGGCGGTTTGCGAAAGGGTGCCAACTAGCGGATCCCGCGCTCAGCGCCTGGGCGAACCCAGCGGGGGAGAAGGAAAGAACGTCAAGGGGATTCCCCAGGAGGGTGGCGGGGAACATTTGGAACCTACAGGAAAGAAAACGTTTGAAGGGGTGGAGCTAATATTTACTCCCTGTCTGTCAGGAGCATCCGAAGTACGAAAGAAAGACTCTCCTCCTCCTAGTAAAATAATAGTAGTGCTGAATGATTCTGCCCCAAAGTCCTTCTCTAGCGACTGTATTGAAGATATTAAGAACAATTTTTTGAGGAACAGAAACTGATCTGAGGTAATAAAAGATGGCGGCTGTGGCACCTGGGGAGAAGCTGTGGGAGAGCAAAATGGAGGTCCTGAAGGAAAGAAAAATCAAGAATATCGAAGGAAACCCAGATCCTAAATGGAAAAAGATGAAGTTCTAGAAAATTTTACTTCAGAAAATGCGAAATGGTGGAAAAACGAGAGGCAGATTTATCTAATCCTCCGTGAATGAAATGGATCCTTTGAAAGGAGTGAAGAGAGGACGAGAGATGGCAACTAAATATTGGAGCACTGATGCAAAGCTCTTTTAATAAAAGCTTGTGAGGAGAAACAGCTATTTTTATGAGGGGTTAGTAGATCAAGTCAATTCATAGCCAGTCCTGCATGCCAGCTTTCCAGGAAAGAGAAGACTAAAGACAGGCTGTCTCTGCAAATTATTCACAATTCCTGTTCAGATGGCTGATAAACTGTTAATGGGCTAAGCCCTACCTTAGGCAGGAAACAGATATGCCCTGATGACATCAAATATGCTGTTCTCTTTCAGTTTCCTATAGACCCAAGACCTTCAGTTAGCATAAAGATCACAGTAGAGCATGGTATAATATTCTATAAAATATTTTTCTCCTCCATAACCTAATTGACCAATGCACTAACTTCTACGTATAACTGCAGTTTTAAAAGTGATTTTCACTTCATTTTTAAATGATCTGCTCAGAAGTTCCAGAGTCTCCTTTTCTTTTGTAGAGAGGGACAGTATTTAATCTACAATTGTCTAGAAATTCACTCATCAGAAATCCTCAGAAAGAGGTTTGGAAAAACCATCAGAAAATCCTCAGAAAGCAGAAACATGGCAAGGAGTATTTGTCAATAATAGGCTTTAATTCTACTCCATTATTGCACTAATTATTGCATTTTTCTTTCTTGTTAGCCTTTTGCCATTAAGCAACTAGTACTGTATACTATTTTCATAAAACCTAGAGTTGTAATGACAGTAGAGCTCATCTAGTCAAACTCCCACTGGGTGCAGGATATGCCACTTTACTTCTATCCCATACATGTGCCCCCCACCAATCTTTTGCTTTTCTTTAGATTACAAGGCAGTATTGGCTCCTGCTTGCTCACCTATGTGTGAGATTTGGGATTTGGGATTTTTAATATCTGTATTTCTTACAAACTCCTATCCAACATAAAAGTGACATGGGCAGCTATATAAATTGAATGACTGAATAATTAAATTTTGGTTTTTTCAAATTAATTTCTTCAGCCATGGAATCCTTCAAGTATTTCTGCCAGCTTGTGGTGAGTGGCTACTCCTTATTTCTGATGGCTTTTTTTCAGCTAAACAGCAATGAACAAACTACAAAGCAACCTTGTATGCTAAAAATATTGACCTTCCAGGAAAACAGATCTTCCCCACCCTCTAGTTCTGCATACGTGTTATTGTATTCAAATTCATATTAGAAAGAGAGAAAAAAGTAGGGAGCCCTAGACCATGTATAGATTTCCTCTTCACATCTTGTTGGGAATGAAACCAAGTTCCTAAGCAGTCTGAATTAGATTTTAAACACCATGAACAGATTTATAATAATCATTTAAGGAGTTTTATAAAAAGAGCAATATTCCATGATACACAAGCAAACACAAATAACTATAAATGAAACAGTGTAAATCATAGTTAAAGTTAAGACTGCTCCCAAGTTGATCTCAGCTCTTATGATTGTACTCATACTGTTTTCTTAGCAATCTGGAAGTCCTTCTGTTGGAATGTTTCCCAACTTCCCAGTGCAACCAACAACACTAGAATTTCTTCAAGGTCCACTATGAAATAATAAACAGGTGGATTCTGCTTAGTTTAAAACCACCCAAAATTTGCTAAGTGCTAATGAAGTAGTAATAAGTAACACCTTTACAAATACAACCAATAATATTGAACATTCTCATCCCACCTACCTTTAATGTTTGCAGCAAAGTTCAACCATCATTCCACAAAACCCACCAAGTTGATTTTTAAAAATTCTTTAGAACCATTTATATATTTGGTTATATAATTAGGTTTATATAGCCTAACGATCAATCACTTTTGTTGGAGAAGCCCATCATTGGGTTGAGCACAAGCAACTTACAAGGCTAATGGACATCATAGAGTTTTAACTTATTTTAAAACCAGTTTCATGAATTACAGCAAATGAGCAAAAATATAGACTGTTCCTGACAGTTTGCTAAATGGGGACAAAAAATAAATGAAACCAGATTCAATCATATCTGAGAACTCAGAATGACTCTTATCCAATTCCATATATTTGTAGGTGCACCATCTGAAGCCAAAGGGTCACATGAGCTCTCCAAAACCTTGAATGTGCCCCCCCGAAGCTCTCTGTAATCATCAAACTGTTTTTCTTAACATGACATGGGGAATACTTAATAACATAACAAGGAAAAATGATATGTGTATTTAATAACTTTCATTTAATTTTGACAAACAAAAGATAAATGAAAGGAAATCAAAATTTGACTGTCTTGAGGACCTACTCAGTTTTTAAAGTTTTAAAAGCTTGCCTCACCATCAAAGGTCAGGTGTGGCCTAAGGTGTCAGAAACTAGCAGATGTCTGTGGTATGCAGTCTCCTCTTGTTTAACCCTGATTGCTCATTGGAAGGATTGATAATGAAGCTCAAGCTCAGATACTTTGGTCACCTAATGCGAAGAGAGGACTCTTTGGAAAAGACCCT